CTGGGGAGTGGTGCCTATCTGAAGCCGTGATGGGCTTTGATGTGTGCGTGGGTAGGTGGGTGGGTGGGCCTATAACAGCGGCTGCCCAGTGAGGGAGGTAGAGGACCCTGGGGGCAGCCTCGGCACTGACCTACTTGGGTCACAGTAATTACTCCCTTCATCCCTTGGGAGGCTACAAATAGGGACACCCTGTCTTTAGGCTTCCACAACAGAAACGCCAACACCAGTGGTGAGTAGGGCTGGTTGGGCTGGGCGTCAGAGCAGCTCAGGGGATCTCTAACAGCTAGCCTTCCCAGGTGTGGGGCCTGGGGACAGAGAGAGGATGCTAGCAGGTGACAGGGTGAAAGAAGTCAGATTTGGTGGACTCAGGGACTCCCTTGTACAAGGAAGGGCTGTTAGAAGTTTGGACTGTTAGAAATAGTTTAGAGCCCAGGTCTGGCTCTCTGGTGGAGACAATGGGATAAACATTCCATTGTAGTCCTTCGCTTCCTGTCTCCTTGCTTCATTTCTGGGGATGGGTTGGGACAGGTCAGGGCTGCAGGAGAAAAGCATCTCTAGGACCTGAGCTTCTGGAACAGAAATAGTGATGGCGCCAGGCAGGCTGGCAAGGCCCAGAAGGGCACACACACTGCACGCCTCTGAAGCTCCTCGTCCTCTGAGACCACGGCATTTTCCTCTCCTGGAAATGCCAATGCTTGTTCCACTCTTGAACTGCTACAAAGAATTAGCAGTGTTTGGCACCCCCATCCCCTCTCTCACTTTCCTGCCAGCCGTAATCATGCTGGCCATTTGCTCCCAGCCCAGGGGAATAGCTGGGGAGAGGCTTGGCCCTGTGCCCTGTGTTGCAGGACTCCCGTCCCCTGGGGGAACCATCAGTGAGTCACTGAGCTCACATGAAAACAACTCTTGCCTTCCCGGCTGCTTAGGGTTTCCCCAGGCTGGAGGCACCATTCCAGAATGGCAGTGGAAGAGACAGTGGAATTGGATTGAAGGGGGCAATTCTGGGAAAGATTTCCCCTCTACCAACTGGCACCCTTGTACAGAGCCTTCTGGGCAGGAGGATGGCCCCAGGGTGGGGCAGGTTGTTGGTAGCTCTCTGAGCTGGTCCATCTCTGGCCTATCCTCCCTCCCTCCTTCCTTCCCTTCCTCCCTCCCTTCTTCCCTTCCTCCTTTTCTTCCTCACTTCCTTCCTTCCTCCCCCCTCCCTCCCTCCTCCCCCCCAGATTGCTCTTTCTCTTTGGTGCTGGTAGTGGGCTTTGAACTCAGGGCCTTGCACTCTTGGTTGGCTTATTTGTTCAAGGCTCGTGCTCTACCACTTGAGCCACAATTCCATTCTTATCTCTGATTAGCCACTCCAAAGCTGGAAATGGAGTTCCAGTACCAGCACACAGTCACACACACAGACACACAGACACAGACACACACAGACATACACACACGCACAGACAGACTTACACCAGTCTCAGGGACTTCTTTGTCTGGGCTTCCTTTGAACCATGATTCTCAGATCTCAGCTTCCCAAACAGCTAGGGTTACAGGTGTGAGCCAGCAGCACTTGGCTTGTGATGTGATTTTACAGATAAGGCGCCTGAGCCACTGAGAGAGCCACCCTCAGGCAGTGCTGCACAACTAGTGAAAGGCAGAGAAGTTGAGTTATTTCCTTTAGCTGTCGCTTTCTTGAGAGCAGGGTAGGGGGCACAGTGAGGTGTTGGGACTCTTCTTAGACATGATCCTTCTTGCTAGTGCCCACCTCCAGAACCCAGGCTAGGGCCTCCTAAGCAAGCTCCTATGGAAGGGAGCCTCAAGCCTCAAGAGGAGTGGCTGTATCTCCTAGTGGGGCTCCCAGTGGGGGATTGAGATGTTCCTGGGTGTTGTGAGGAAACCTGGTAGGAAGTCAAGATGTCCTCAGGAAGCCCCACTGTGGGTGGTGGGTGGATATTTCCCCCCTGAGGAGTGCACACGGATGTTGAGGAACAAGGGACAGAGAGGTGATGCATTGGGAGGGTTGCTTTGGGTGAGGGGTGGTGAGGAGGGTGTCAGGGAGGGCTGCTCAGAGGAGCAGGAGCTTGCGGCGGGGTCTGGAGTGTGGTGATGGACAGGTCTGTGGGAAACATCGAGGACAGAGGCCTGGGCTTCTGCCCCACACGAGTCACGCTCTTGTTCTGTGACAGTGAGGATGACTCGGCCCCTGGAGCAGGCAATAGCTGCCATCGTGTGCACCTTCCAGGAGTATGCGGGGCGCTGTGGGGACAAGTACAAGCTCTGCCAGTCGGAGCTCAAGGAGCTGCTGCAGAGGGAGTTGCCCAACTGCACCCCGGTGAGATCCCATCAAGGACACTAGTAGGATGTTGGGGTGACCAGAGGCGGAGCACCACCAGCTGAGGGCAGCAGGAGGCAGAGACTGTGGGGGAGGGGAGGAAAACAAGGGAGCAGACACAGCGCGAGCCTCAGTTTCCTCATCTGAAGAATGACATGGCAGTCACTCCTGTGGCCTTGCAGAGTTGATGGGGCGTAGCAGGCATTCCATAGCCAAGAGCAGGTGCTCAGCAAACAACCTGAGAAGGGGCCCTGGGGAAGGGACTAAGGTAGGGAGTTGGGGCGTCCTCATAGAAAGGGGTGTGTTATCAGGATAGGTAGACTCAGGTTCGCCCTCTCACCCCCGAGGGTGTGAGTTGGGAAGGAGTATGAGGAGGGGACAGGTGTGGGAGGGGAGGGTCTTCTGTCCTTTTCCCCCTGCCTCTCTGATCCTCTCCACCTTTCCCGCACACAGACTGAGTTTCGGGAGTGTGACTACAATAAATTCATGAGCCTTCTGGACACCAACAAGGACTGCGAGGTGGACTTTGCCGAGTACGTGCGCGCGCTTGCCTGCCTCTGCCAATACTGCCACGAGTACTTCAAGGGCTGCCCTCCAGAGCCCCCCTGCTCCGAGTAGCCCCTCCTACAAAAGGGGTGTGCAGCTCTGGGGAGCCAGGGGTCTGCTCCCTCTCTGCCGCTGGTCCTGGGAGTGTCTCCCCTGCCTTCTCTCTCCTGTACCCCTTTCCATCCTAGGTGTGCTAACCCATCTTTCCAGGGAGGCTTGGAGACCTCCCTGGCTAGGCACAGCTAGGGAGGGGTGGAGCATTTGGCAGCCTCTGCTGCCTCCCTGGTGTGGGTGGGAGGGGCTGGGCCTCGGCTCTGATCCGGGAGGCCTCACAGTGTGGGCACAAATGAGACCACAAGCCTATTCAACTCTCAATAAAAGAAACTGGCACCAGCTTGGTTTGGTTTGGTTTTTCCAGGCGGATAAGCTGGGTCTGGGGGCTGAGTCCTGAAAAGAACTTTCTTTACCCCTCTCTGGCCTTTTCCACTGGAGGCAGGAGGCGGAGGGCAGAGGCTAGAGCTCCCCAGAGGACCTGAGTAGTTTCAGACTCTGTAGAAACAAACACTCTGGCTGCAGTGGCCCAGCAGAAGGAGTGGGGTCCAGGGAAGGATGGAAGGTTTCTCCGGTCTCAGTCTCCTTCTCTTGTCTTTGAGGGAATAACCCCCATCTGAGGCTTTTGAGAAGGGTGTAAGGCTTCCCAGGTCAGTCCTTATAGCCGGACGGGCTGAGGGAGAGGCCGGAGCTGTGGGCATGGGTGGGGCTGTGTGAATCCAGAGAGCCACACTCACAGGATTAGGGCCTCTGAGGCTTTTGTTCCCAGGCAGGGAGGGGTGCTTTGTGTTTGGGGAGGGGGGGGTGGGAGGAGACTTTGAGGCAGGCCCCACATCTGAAGCTGCAGCTCCAAGGAATTTGTACTGTTAACTCTCACTCAGTTCCTTGATCCTGATGCCTCCATTTCATCCCTAACTTTCTACTCCAACCTGGATTTGTCTGTCATTCCTGACATCCAGCCCAGTCCTCTGAACTTTCTTTCATCCATCCCTGAGCCCCCACTTCTCACTCCCATCCCCACTCTGTACCTACTTGATTGCTGTCTCCTTAGGACTATTCCCTTTACTCTCCTGAGGTGGGCTGAGAGCCTCCTGATTTCCCAGGCTCCATTCTGAGCCTTACTGGGCATTGCAGGGAACCCTGTGGGAAGGGGAAAAGGGCTGATGGAGTGTCCCCCAGCACTGGTGTGTAGGGCTCCCTCATCCACTTCTTTTGTGTTGTTGTTGGTTGTTGTGGGGCTTGAACTCAGGGCCTGGGCTCTGTGCCTGAGCTCTTTTGCTCAAGGCTAGCCCACTACCACTTTGAGCCTCAGCTCTACTTCTGGTTTTCTGGTGTTAATTGGAGTTAAGAATCTCATAGATTTTTCTGCCTGGGCTGGCTTTGATCCATGATCCTCAGATCTCAGCCTCCTGAGCTGCTAGGATTACAGGTGTGAGCCACTGGCACCTGGCTCCCATCTACTTCCAGGCCAGCTGCATTATCCAGATAATTTTCCCCTGTCATCCCCCACCCCAGCCTCTCCTTCCTTCCTTCCTTCCTTCCTTCCTTCATTTCTTTTCTTTTCTTTCTTTCTTTCTTTCTTTTTTTTTTTGCCAGTCCTGGAGGCTTGAACTCAGGGCCTGGGCACTGTCCCTGAGCTGCTTTTGCTCAAGGCTAGCATTCTACCTCTTGAGCCACAGAGCCACTTCTGGCTTTTTCTGTGTATGTGGTACTGAGGAATCGAACCCAGGGCTTCAAGCATGCTAGGCAAGTACTCTACTGCTAAGTAAGCCACATTCCCAGCCCTGCCTCTCCTTTCTTATCTGTCTGGTGGGATTACTTTCTTGGTTCCTATACCCCCAGACACAGATTGCCCTTTTCTGTAGCTCCCTAAAACTCAGGCTGAGCCATGGAGACTGGGTGGTGCCCACCCGAGCTCACTTATGGCCCATCTGTACCTTCTCTAGGATCAGGAAGCTTGCTTCCGAGGCTGGGCTGGTAGAGGGGTTGTGGCACTTGGCACATCAGCCCACAGCAAGAGGGCTGTATCCGCTCTCCCCCATCCACTGCTTATGGGCAGGGCCTGAGTGGGTATAAATAGGTCAGACTGCTGGGTTCTCCCCAAACCTCTCTTCTCAGCACTTCCTCTCTCGGTCTGGTGAGTTGTGTTGGCCTGACTGGCATGCAAAGGGTGTCAGGGGCCAAGGCAGGGGAAGGAGAAGGGGCGGCTGCTGGGGGCCAGATGTGCTAAATGGATCCACATGTGGGGTCCTAATGTGGAGGTGTGTATGCGCATGTGTGTGCATGTGTGCATATGTGTCTGAGCATGAATGTGCGCATGCACATACATACGCATGTAAGAGACCAAACACACACACAAGTATGTAGGTGGCTGGATCTGAGCTCTGAGAGTTTCTGGAATGTTGGGGTTTGCCTGTGCTGTTGCTATATGTTGGTGTGTGTGAGTCATGGGTGGACACGCTGGCTTGTGTTTGTGGGGTTGCACAAGTCTATGTGTGCATAGCTGGTATAGAAAGCAAAGCAAAGTCATCTGTGGGCTTCTGAATGGTAGTAGCCTAAGAGCCTCTGCCCTGCGCTCAGCAACCCAGCCCAGGAGAGCTTGGCCTCCCCACACTCCCCTCACACCCTTACCTCTTGTACCTCGCCCTAGCCCTCCCTAAGCTAGACACTGGGCACTAGACAGCTGGGTTTTTTCCGCTGCAGGCCTCTGGGCAGGCTTCCAGCAACCACACCCAGAGCTGAGAGAGAGAATAATGGGCAAGGGCGGGGCTTTGGGGGCTGAGCTGTGGTTGTGGATGAGCCAAGTGAGGGGTGGAAAAATGCTGTTGTTGGGGCCAGGCCTGAGGGAAGTCTACAAGCAGGTTCTGCTTGCAGGGTCTGCAGAGCCTGAGCAGTGGGCCTTGCAGATATTGGCTGCTTGAAGCATGCGTTTCCTACTGTGCACCTTCCCATGAAACACCTCCCACCAGGAACAGAGCCCACTTCTCTGCGATCCCCAGGGGAGCAGAGTTTCCTTAAGTCCTCCCAGAGGATGGGAGTGGGGTCCTCAACACATTGCTGGTGTGCGGCAAATAAGGATGCCTCCGTTCTTCCTGTCCCTAGGTCCTGATTGCTGCCATGGCGTGCCCTCTGGAGAAGGCCCTGGATGTGATGGTGTCTACCTTCCACAAGTACTCAGGCAAAGAGGGTGACAAGTTCAAGCTCAACAAGTCAGAGCTAAAGGAGCTGCTGACCCGGGAGCTGCCCAGTTTCCTGGGGGTGAGTGGGTCCTGTCTGGAAATAAGCCCCCCTATGGAGCATCCTCTAGAGGAAGGGCGTGGCCCTGGCCCGCATGGGCCATTACCAGAGTATAGCAGCAGCTGCATCTTAATCACGAGAGTAGGACCATGGAGGCTTGAGAGCTACTTCTCATTGCTCGGCGTGGATACCCAGTGAATGTCTACCTCTTACTTGTTCCAGCAGAGATGACTGAGAATGAACTGACAGGTCACAGGCCAGGCCCTCTGCCTCTATGCCTTCTCTAGGATCAGGAAGCTTGGTTCCGAGGCTGGGCTGGTAGAGGGGTTGTGGCACTTGGCACATCAGCCCATAGCAGGAGGGCTGTATCCGCTCTCCTCCATCCACTGCTTATGGGCAGGGCCTGAGTGGGCTTTGCATGACTTAACCCGAAGAGAAAAATTGAGGCCAGAGAGCTAAGTGACTTCTCAAGGCAGTTAGTGTACAAAACTGTAATCTAGACCATCGCTAGCGCTCCATTGATCTGTTTGTGAAGGAGCAATGGTGGACACACACACACACACACACACACACTTACAGGTCTTCTCCAAAACAAAAACATCTTACTTTTGTTAATATGTGCTGTTTATTAATTGATGACTGTTAAATAATAGATCATTAGAACAATTGTGGGTGAAGATGCAGCCCATCATCTCTCAGCTCCATCATTTACTCAGATTCCCCATCCAACAAGGTACTCTTCTCTGACTTTGGAGGAGTGGTTCAAGTTGTAGAATACCTGAGCACACTTGAAGCCCTGAGTTCAAACCCCAGTAACACACAATATTACAGCTGGTACAAGTGACTCACATCTGTAATTCTGGCTGCTCAGAAGGCAAAGGTCCAGAGGATCATGGTTCAAGCCAGCCCAGGCAGGAAAGTCTCCTAGACTCCATATTCTAAAATAGCTAGCAAAATATAGGACTGGTGGCATGGCTCAAGTGATAGAGGGTCAGCTCAGCAAGCAGGCCCACTGAATTTGAGGCCCTGAGTTCAAACCCCATTATTGTCCAAAAAAAAAAATACTAGCTGAGCCTCTAAAGGAGTGTCTGTAAACTTTCCCAAGCACCAATCTGCAGACAGGAACCTAGTCTAATCTGGGTTTTGTAGCCTGGGCTTCTGCTTTCTAACTGTAGCCTCTTCCTCCTCCAGAAAAGGACGGATGAAGCTGCATTCCAGAAACTGATGAGCAACTTGGATAGCAACAGGGACAATGAGGTGGACTTCCAGGAGTACTGCGTCTTCCTGTCCTGCATCGCCATGATGTGTAATGAGTTCTTCGAAGGTTGCCCGGATAAGCAGCCCCGGAAGAAGTGAAGGGTTCTCAGATGGTGGGTTGGGTGTTCTCTGCCCGCTGGCAATGAGCCATCTTGTTGGCTCCTTCAGACAAGTTAATGATGTCGAGCAAGTTCAATAAAGAATTTTGAAGCTATGGGGATGGTGGTCTGAGAGACTCTGTGCATGAGGACTGGGGCTGAGGGACAGATCATGTGATGGTGGGGGGAACTCCAGGAGGTGAGCTTGATTTGTGGAGTATGTACTAGTGAAGGTGGGGGGAGTGGGAGATGATTGTGTGTGTGTGTGTGTGTGTGTGTGTGTGTGTTCTGGTGGGGCCGCAGGCAGGGAAGGGACCACCAGAGGCTTGGAAGGCTCCAGCTCTGGGATCTTGGCCAGGCCACTACCCTTCCCATCTCTTTGCCTCCAGCAGGACTTCAAACTGCAGCTGAGATGGGACTGAAGGTCACATCTGCTCCTCGTTGGGGTCTGGAGAGAGGACAATGGGGCTGAGTCACAGGGAGAGAGTCTTGAAGCCAGAGGAGGGATGGGGAGGAGAGTGGGCACTCGGTGCTGACATTTAAAGACCAAGCATTGTCCTGCCACCTCGTCTAGCTCTTTGGCTTCAAGCTGCAGGGATGGGTTAATCCTTTCTTGTCTATATCCAGATAAAGGAGCACTATTTGTAGAAGTGTAAGACATTAGTCAATTCTTGGAGCTGATGTGGTGGCGTATGCCTGCAATCCCAGCTACTAGAGGGGCAAGATAAGAGGACTGGGAGTTTTAGGACAGCATGGGCTACATTATTAAGACAACAGCAACCACCTAAAAACAGAAGGACTGAGTGCAATCCCCATTACAAAGGAGGAAAAAGAAAAAGAAGTCATATCTTATAATCTCTCTCTCTTTCTCCCTCTCTCTCTGTCTGTCTGTCTCTCCCTCCCTCCTTCTCTCTGACAGAGTCTTACTATATAGCCCAGGATTGTCTCAACCTCACAATTCTTCTGAACTAGCACACCTGGATGAAATAGCTAGTCTCTAATGCTCTGTTTTTGCCCCAAAGGTTCATGGGATGAGACTAATTATTGTTAGGAATCTTGTTTCCTCAGAAGAGGATGAGAGATCTCAGAAGGATTGAACGGGATGTGAGTGAGGGATAGGATGGAAGCTAGCCACAGCTTTAGTAATAAGACTTTGGACATATGACCTGCTATGTCTAAAAATATGAGGTGTGATGTTTCTTTCCCTCAGGGTAGAATAAGGGTCAGTGGTTCTGGGATACAGTAAGTGCAATTGGGTTAGACTTCAAGGCTATGCCTGGATGATATAAGGACCTTTAAAGAAAGGGTGCAAAGAAGCCTTGCTGCAGGCTGGAGGGTCTGGTGATCTCCCAAGCTTCCTTTGTCATCACTGTTTTTCTCTCCAGCTTGAGAGAAACAGGGTGGGTGACTCACATGTTCCTTTGGAGTCTGACTACAGAGACTCTGGTCCAGGAAAAGTTTTCCTCCTCCCTTTCTCTATTCTAGCCAATCTGCCCATCTTCCACATTAGTGTGTTCCCTTGAGCCTGGGCCTGCATCACTTCTACTTCGGAAACTGGTTGCTTAGCAACCAGTCCCTGCTGCCTCACTAGCCTTGCAGCTGGGGGGGGGGGGTGAGTGGCGTAGAGCGCAGTGAGGAAGACCCAGGAAGGCAGAGGCTGGGGTGGGATCGCAGTTCTGTTCTTGGTAGAGCCTCATTGAGTGTTCCTGGGATATAGGAACTCTTCCCGGAACCTAACTCTCTCTGTCACTGCACCATACACTTAGACCTCCTCCCCCATTTTACAACCTCTAGTCCAACACCAGGCCCTCATCTGTCTCTCTCACTCTCCCTGACTCCTGATTCTCAGTCCTCCAAGCCAAGAATCTCTGGCAATTCTTTGCTACCATCAGTGACATTTATGAATAATCGTTTATTTAAAAGCTTTTTAAAAACCTTTGGCTTCATACTGCCTAGTGACCATGACCAGGCCTTTGGGAGGAAATACCTTCCCTCATCTTGAGGTGTGTTCTTCTCTGCTCTAAGAGTGGGTGAGAGGATGGATGGGAGGATCCCAGTGTGGAAAGTGGCCTAGGACACCAGGAGAAATCCTGTGTTTGACCTAACCCCCCTCCTCACGTTCCCTTTCCAGATCAGTCTGACTTTGCTTTTGTTTAGCCTGTTTCTCTGGCTATTAGTTCTGGCACTCTGATTCTTTGTTTGGAAAAATGAGTTTTCATGTGTGTGGTGGGTCCTATGTGCCCCTCAAGGAAGGCAACATTAGCAGCGGGGTTTCCCTCAGCCCTGTCTCCAGAGGCTCTGTGGAGCGTCCTCATGTCCCTGACCCCTTCTCATTGGCCCTGTCTCTCCCCAATCTCCTGGGCACTGAGGGCAAGGGAATAAAGGCAGAGAACAGTGGGAGAGAGGCCGCAGTGGCTGTGGCTTGGATTCCCTGTGCTCGCTCCTTTCTTGGTGAGTCTTTCTTCCCATCAACTAGTCCATTGCTGGTGAGCCACACTAGGTGAAGAGGTTGGAGGTGACCTCCATGAGGGGACCCTGGCCCTGCACTTGGGGCAAATGCCCAGAAGGAGGGGGGCACAGGATTCAGAATTGTGGCTGGAAGAATTCCCTGGGAAGACAGACCTGAGGGCTCCCCCTTGTAATCCCAGACCTTGGTTACATAGACAGTGTCAGGCTAGCCTCAGCTACATGGCAAGACCTTACTTGCCTCAGGGGAAGTGGAGGAGGGGACAGAACCAGCCAGGAAGCCCCTGCAGGTACCTAGAGGCCCCCTTGAATGGAACTGTGGTCTGTGTGAACCTCCTTGAGGTGGCAGAAGCTGAGAATTTGGGATGTGGGACAGGAGTGATGGATGAAGTTCAAGAACTGCAGGGTGTCTTCTGGGCCGGAAGTCAGAGCCAGCAACCTCTTCCTCCTGGCTCAGGACTCTCCACAGTATTTACCTGTCATGCTTGAGTTCCGTGGGTATGCCTTCCTTCCTCCCTAAAGGGAAATGGTTTTAAAATCTGAAGCTCATGATCTTCAGCTTTCTCTTCACTGGATATGGGGAGGGGAGGAGGGCTGTGCTGCTGGAATAGAACCCCTCATTCAGGTTCAACCTCGGGAGCCAGGTCTCAGAAGGATTCTGGTGATGTCTCTGTCACCTTCCCTCCCGACTGACTCCTGGCCAGTCAGTGGGTGCAGTCTTGGCTCGAGACTGGAAGTTAGCTGGGAAAGTTCAATCACCTCTCTCCTGCTTTCTGCTGAGATCTTATCTCCTAGTTCAAACCCCAGCTACCTCCAATGCCTGGACTCTTTCTTTGCCCTCTCCTCCACTTTTATGAGACACTCAGCAATATCAGGTGATTGGAGCACGGGGGAAAGGAGGGTGACTAAGGTAGGAAATGTTTCTGGAAACCAGTGTCCCAGCTGTGTGGGGCAGGGAGATTCAGACTCCTTTGCTGAGCGGTGTGCTTTGGCTCTCATTATAACCTATACATGCATCCTCTAGTTAGTGGATTTTCATCTTATCATGGGTATTCATCCCTAGTCCTTTGAGGGAGGAGCCTTGGGGGGGTGCTGAGCTAGTGGTGATGGTGGTGGGGAGCAGAGGACCATGCCCGTCTCCTCTCCTTCTCCAGAGCTGCACACGGTGATGGAGACCCCTCTTGAGAAGGCCCTGACCACCATGGTGACCACCTTCCACAAATATTCGGGGAAAGAGGGCAGCAAACTGACCCTGAGTAGGAAGGAACTAAAAGAACTTATCAAGACAGAGCTGAGTCTTGGGGAGGTAGGTGACCTTTCTCTCATCCTCCACAGCCCACAAAGTCTGATTGGTCCCTGTGAAGGACACCTACTCACCCACCCACCCTTCGGATGCTCTAATCTAAGTGTGGGGCAGGATGACTGAAGCAGATGGCCAAGAATACAGGAAAGGACTGGATGCCTCTAGATCTCTATGCTGGGGGATGAGTCAGGGTCTCATTGGAAGAAGGGCAGGGAGTCTGTGGATGTATAGTTAGTGGGATGCCATAGAAGCAGGTGAGCTGGCTCTTGGATGGTGGTCAGGAGTGACAATGGCAGGGAATCGGTGCACTAACCCCTCCCTGGTGCTGGTCCCTGTGCTTGGTGTGGGCTGAGGGTCAGACTGTTCCCAGGGCTGCTGGCTTCGCTGGGGATCACTTGAAACTGCCTGGTAGTGGTAAAGCAGGGCCAGAAGGGCTGCTCAACTGTCTCTCCCTCCCTGGGGGCTCGCAGAAGATGAAGGAGAGCAGCATTGATGACCTGATGAAGAGTCTGGATAAAAACAGCGACCAGGAGATCGACTTCAAGGAGTATTCTGTGTTCCTGACCACGCTGTGCATGGCCTACAATGACTTCTTCCTGGAGGACAACAAATAACAAGGGCTCTCCTCCACCATCACTAGTAGCCCTTGTCCTTGGCAGCTCCTCTGATAGACCCTCTTTGCCCCTCTATTCTCCTGCTCTTCCCAGATGAACCCCTTCCAGCAGAGGAAATAAAGATTTTTTCCCCCCACTCCAAATGTTGGGGGACTGACTTTGAAGGTGTCTTATTTCCCTTAGGTGGAACAGGGGAGGGCAGACAGATGTTCTTGGTCTAGGGATCCTACCCTATTTGTTGCCCCTCAGTGTGGGGCTCATTAGGCTTCTCTTAGTTTAGTTTTGCACTCTAGAAAAAGAAAAAAAAGGAAGTTGCGCAGGCTTCTGTAAGTCTTTCATCAGACTAAAGAGAAAGCTGGGAGGGAAAGTGCCGGGGAGTGAGGGGGCTGGAGTGCTGGGGTGTGGCTCCTGGGTCTCCTTGGGTGACTGAGTCTGACCTGTGACTAGCTTGCTCCTAGGAGGCCACCGTGGTAGCTCGGATAAAGAGCAGAAATGGGATCTTGGCTCTAGAGCTTTCTTTCCTCTTTTCCATTCCCCCTCAGCATCCTCCTCTTGTCAGGGTTTTCTCCTCTTTTATCTCCCCTCAGGATTTGGGGGGGAAGTTTTTCACCCCAGGTGAATAGTTAATGATGCTTGCAGGGCTTGGCACTGGCAGGTGTAAGCACAGGAGGCCAAGGGCAGAATCCCAGGCAGTGGGAGGAGAGAGCAGCTGGTTGATGATATAAGGAATTTATTGTTTGTGTGTGTGTGGGGAGGGGTGTTCTAGATCCTTCCAGTCCCTATCTTGCTTAGCACTGGCAGCCCCCTCCCCCTTCCTCTAAAGTTGACCCTAAAAAACCTCTGTAGGACACCCTAGATCCATGCTTTGGCAGGTGAAACAGGGGTCCCCAACTCCGGTGTAACTAGAACTATGGAAATGAACCTCTCAGCACTGATTTCCACTTGGTCCCTTCATGCTCCACTGGGCTCCCCCATCCGGGTCCTAACCTCACCCGGAACAGTTGGAGAGGCTGGAAAGTTAGGAGGGAGGAGCACTTGGGTTGTGTGTGGTGTGTGTGTGTGTGTGTGGTGTGTGTGTGTGGTGTGTGTGTGTGGTGTGTGTGTGTGTGGTGTGTGTGTGTGGTGTGTGTGTGTGTGTGTGTGTTTTGCAGCCTGCAGGCGCAGGGTGGGGCCGGGGCGGGCCCTGAGCGGGGGAGGGGGGCGCTCCCGGAGCCGGCCTCCCGGATGCTGGCCGCTATAAGGCCAGCCGGACTGCGACACAGGCCAGCCATTGCCCGGACCTCTCTCTTCCTTCCCTGCTGTGTCTAGCGTGGTGAGTTCTTGCAGGGACGCTATGGGGCTTTTTGGGTCTCTGCACTAGGGGGTGGGGGTGGGGTAGGGGGTGTCTGGGTCCTTGGTGGGGTGCCCAGTCTTGCTCTCCCCTCTCCCTCTCCCCCCGGAAGATTCAGGAGTGGCAGAGTTGTTCCAGGTAAGCCCCAGGCTAAGGCATTCCAGGTAGGGGCGGCTCCCCAAGTGTGCTCTTGTGGGGTGCAGGAGGGTGTGTTCTGGGTGTTATTGGCCTCCTGCAGGCCCTGGAGGAGAGTCTCCTCCAGGGAGACTCTGGCTTGGGCAGTTTTTTTTTTTGGTCCGGTTGTGGATCTTGAACTCTGGATCTGGGTGCTGTCCTTAAGTTCTTCAGCTCAAGGCTAGTGCTCTACCCCTTGAGCTACAGCGCCACTTCCGGGTTTTTCTGTTTATGTGGTACTGAGGAATCGAACCCAGGGCCTCATGCATGCGAGGCAAGCACTCTACCACTGAGCCACCTTCCCAGCCCCTTGGACTGCTTTTGAGAACAGGAGAACCACTTTTCCTTTTTAGCTCTGGTCCCCTCAGGCACTGCCTTCCTGACCCCTTGTGTGCCTGTCCCTTCCCTTCAAACCCTGGTTGGTCACCTGTGGGTGGCCTGAGGCTCCAAGGGGAAGTGGAGGTATGCTGAAGAGTGAATTCTGGGTGTGTGTATGAAGTGAGGCGTTCCTGCTGCCCCTGACCAGTCCCTCTGTCACCAGCATCTAGCCCAGCCCTCAGCCATGGCATGCTCCCTGGATCAGGCCATCAGCCTCCTTGTGGCCGTCTTCCACAAGTACTCCTCAAGGGAGGGTGACAAGAGCACCCTGAGCAAGAAGGAACTGAAGGAGCTGATCCAGAATGAGCTCACCATCGGCCCTGTGAGTAACTTCCTCCCGCCTCTTCCCACCTCCTGTCCAACTCACAGGCGTTTTCCCCACGTTACACCTGCCTTATTCTTCTGAACACTCATTCTCTCCAGGTGGGAATAGAAATCCTTTCAGCCAGTGTCTTTTTTTTTTTTTTTTATTCTGAGTGAAGAGCAGGGGCTAAGAAGTAAAACCATGCTGAACCCAAAATGAACACCCATTCTTAGCGAAGTGGGCAGAATCACCTGCATGAGAGAGGGCTGTGTGGAAGGGGGAAAAGGAGAGAACTTAGGGTACGTGTCAGCATTGACTTCCTATTCTAACACATTAGAAGCTGCAGGATGCCCAAATTGCAAAGCTGATGGATGATCTGGACCGGAACAAAGACCAGGAAGTGAACTTTCAGGAATATGTCACCTTCCTGGGGGCTTTGGCCTTGATCTACAATGATGCCCTTAAATAAACTGGGAATTTGAAGATGCACTCCAGGAGGCCTATCCCAGTCAAATGCAGTGGTGGGTAACTGTATAATAAAGTTTTTTTTTTGGGTCAAATCTACTCATGTATTGTGATTTATCAATTCTTTCTGTGTGTGTGTGTCAATCCTGGGACTTGAACTCAGGGCCTGAGCTCTGTCCCAGAGCATTTATGTACAAAGCTGGTGTTCTACTGCTTGATCCACAGCCCCACTTCCAGCTTTTTTTTTTTGAGGTAAAATTTTTCTGCCCAGAAAGTCAGATCTCAGCCTCCTGAGTAGCTAGGATTACAGGCGTGAACCACCAGCGCCTAGCTCCTCAATTATTTCTAATTCTGACTTGTCCTGCTGCTGTACCAGCCACCAGCATGTCTGTGTCATAGTCAGTCTCTGAGAATGGCTCATTTGCCCACCCAGATAAGGCCTTTGCTATCTTACCAGGAGTCTTTATGTACATTGGGAAGATGCCCTCTCTTGGCAAAGCCATCTTAAGTAAACACTCAAGTAGTCTTCAGTAGAGAGGGCTTGGAGAAGGGAATAGTGCCTGGCTTGGGTTGGTGGGGTTGGTGGTCAGAGATAGTCTTAATAGATTCCCAGAATATGTGCTTTGCTCTGGGCATGGTGAAAGGGGAGGAGGATCTAGGTGCGTCCTGGGGCTAGGATACTTTCATATGGTGGAGTGAGTAGTAAAATGGACACATAGAAGATGCTGGAGACCCCTGAGGATGCAACATGACCAAATTTATTATAGCCTCCCAGGTCCCAGATGGAGGTTGGGGGAACACTTTAGGAGTCTGCACCTGCTTTCAAGTATGGGATCCTTTTTCTTGGGATGGTGGTCTGAGGTATTAGCAGCTTCATAAACATGTTAATCATATGGTACTCACAGAAAGAGCCTGATTGGAGTTGGGGTATGTGTGTGTGTGTGTATGTCCCTGGATCTGGTCAAATGTAGCTTCAAGCATTGACCCAGCCTGTCTCTACAGCTTCAGCAGAATGAATTAGGAGATGATCCCACGGAGCCATGCTTGGGCTTTCAACCCCTGACCAAGACCTGACTAATTATCTGACTAATTATCTGAATTACTGCCAATTTTCTGTCTCAGTCTATTCAGACAGAAGGTATGGGGAAAGCTGTGATGTATGTCTGCATCTCTGGGTGACAGAGCATTTGCTCAACATTCATCCCCTGAAGGCCTTGTCCAAGCTGGGAAAGTTTCTCCATAGGTGCTGGGAGAAAAAGATCTGGGACTTCAGAGAATGATGATAGAGAACACATTCATATTTTTATCCACCTCTCCACCCTCCACCCCAACCATGTGCAGTTAAGTTCCCTTTCCTCCATTGGGTGAGGATCGCCAAAAAGCTGAGAGCTGCACCTTCCTCCTCTAGCTGCCTCCCCTTCACAAACTGTTGGACAGCCAGAGGGTCGGGGGTGGGGCGTGGGGGGGGGGCTCAGCACCTTCTCTGCAGAGTCTTGGCCCTTTTCAGCTCCCTAGGGGAACAGCACACCCACATTACCCAGGGCCCAACTATTTGAGGTGCGGAGCGAGCGCCCTCTTGTGGTGAGAGTGGGACATGGGATTAGCAAGTGATTGGGGTTGGGTTTCTAGAGTTCCTGGGGAGAGAACAACAGTGTACTGGTGCTGTGGTTGGGGGCCACAGCTCTGGGTGGGCGGGTGGAGGCCAGGGAGCTCTTCCTGTGAAGAGGGGGATGGGACTTGGGCCTCTCAAGGGATGTCCGGGCAAGGGAATCTCTGAGCTCCCAGACTGTTCGCTTCATTTAAGACACATCTACCGTAAACAAGTGTGAGGAGGGAAGGAGGTTTGCAAAGACCTCTCCCTCCTCCACCCCTCCCCTCCACAGCCCCTGCTGCCTTAGAGAGAGAGAAGGGCATGTTCCAGTGCACAGGTGGTTGGGGGAGGGGATGGGCCCTCAGTCCCACATTTCCAGAGGGTTCTGTCCGATGGCCAAGGGGGTTGGAGAGGAGAAGGTGGACTTCCCACCCTCGAAATAAACGAGGGGAGGAGGAGATGATGTCTTTTAGCTTTGGCTTCTCAGCAACAGTGGAGGGGATCCTAGGAACATGGACTTAAAGAATAAAATAGAGGGCTGGGAAAGTGGCTCAGTGGTAGAGCGCTTGCCTTGCAAGCCTGAGGCCCTCGGTTCAATTCTTCAGCACCACATAAGCAAAAAGCCGGAAGTGGCTCTATGGCTCAAGTGGTAGAGCGCTAGCTTTGAGCTGAAGAGCTGAGGGACAGTGCCCAGGCCCAGAGTTCAGGCCCCATGATCGACTCCCCCAAAAAGAATAAAATAGTAAACAAACAGCACATCTTCTGTTAGTACTGGGGATAGAATCTTTAAGGCTTTTCTTTTTGTACGCTAGGGGAGTGACAATTTCATTTATTTTTGTTATTGTGGGGCTTTGAACTCAG